CTTTTTGAAAAATTCCTCCTGTTCAAGCCTGCCACTCCAAACAAGCACCTGGCCTCTCACAGCCCAGCTCCCCAGCCAAACCCGGGACTCACTGGGTCAGGGTCCATCATGGCCCAACTCTTCCCAGTGCATGTCCACATTCTCAGTGGGTGCACACTGCCTCTGTGTATGTGCCACTTTGTCCTTATTCCCCTCAGCAACTTCAAGCATCAAGGTCCATCCCGGTGCTGCTCAAACCTCCTTCTTTGGCAGGGGATGGAGTCGTTACCTGGCTCTCTCCCAAGAATCTTGTAGCAGACCCTGAGGGCACAAGGCCTGGGGATGCAGTCACCCTGGTCCCTGTGCTGGTCCCAGGGACCTTACTGTTCCAAAGCAATCTCCTACCATCTAATTTTTCAATGTTCTATACAGTTTTGGCCTCCAACCTTTACCTGTGCTGGTCCCAGGGACCCTATTGTCCAAAAACAATCTCCTACCATCTAATTTTTCAGTGGTCTATACAGTTTTGGCCTCCAACCTTTATCTGAGCTCCATTAGCTGTTCACTTTGTTCCTCAGAAGATTGGCTAGGTATTCCATCTGTAGGCCAGAGAAAGTGGCCTCTGCTCCTATGTATTTCCCTGCCATCTTCCCCCTCAAGAAACATGTAATTTGATTTTGAATCAGAAGGAACATAATAAATCTAAGCATTTGAGAGATTGTATTGTTGAATTTTGAATATCACAGCTTAGTTTTCAGTTAATTAATTTTGTGCAGATAGCGTAGATTTGAAATCTATAGATTCTGAATTGGCCGTATATATAAAGTATGTTTTCTTTTTATATTGGTCTAGTAGTTCTTATATGTTAATCATATTCTCAGTTTAGCAGATGGACTTAAAATAATAATAAATGGACAATAAAGTGGGGTTAGGTAGAGAAGAAAGATGAGTAGGACATAGTTCTTTTATCCTTTTCCTCTTTATCCTTTGTTCCTCATCTTTTGATGTAGAATTAAAAGCAAAACTTATCAGGCTGGACCATTTTGAATTGGAGAAAACAGGTTTACAGTATTTTGAAGAAATCTTATTATATTTACTCAATCCTTAAAAGTCTGTTAGGACCCTAGGCATATTTGTTAGAGTCGGCTGTGTTTGGTGGTTATTTTTTTCCTCTTATATACCTCTCTTTCTGTGATTTCATCCATTCCTAGACTCCTCTAGTTTTGCAATTTTTATTAATTTATTAACAATTTTTTAAAAAGTTTTTTCTATGCCAGAACATGTGTCAGATCCTGAGATAAGGTTATAAACAAGACAGAGCCCCTGTACCCTTGGAGCATAAAATATTATGAAAGCATAAAAACAAATACACATTAAATGGCACTATGGAGTAAACAGAGGGTACAGTGGGTATCTGTAAGAACTCATGTATCCCAGTATGGATATTCAGGAAGAGTTTACAAAGAGGGAGAGGTGTCCAGTTTCTTGAGACCTTCCTGTTGTCTCTCATCTTCTGAAGTTACTGCGAGCATCCTCTGTTCAGTTTTTGTTCTCTCTTCCTCTTTCATCCAAAATTGATTTGCTTGTACAACAGTGTGGTTGTTGTGGGGAGGGGTGCATGTTGGGTGGAGGTGAAAGTGGGTAAAGGGGTATAAATGGTAATGGATAAAATACAATAAAAAATAAAGCAAAAAATAAAACAAATTTGTGACAAAATTTAGACAAAAATATAAATGAGGATTGATCTTTTTAGAAGAGAATTTGCAAAAGTGATAGGAGTTTGTTAACAGAAAAATATTTTAAATACATTTTTAATTGAAAACATTGATAGATAAGTAATATGTTTTTGATTAGGAAATTTCAAGGCAAACTACACTCAGTCATAATAAAATGACATTTAACATTTATGAGCCCTTAGTATATGTCAGGCATTAAATTAGTTACTGTATGTTCATTATATTAAAGTGAAATACACAAACATACAGACTCTTAAATCTTCACTAACAAGGAATCAACATTAAGCAGAGGAAGCAGGATAATTCAAATGGGTTATCTTTCCTCTTCCCTCATTACAATTTACTGTTTTATGGGAGTGGTGAATTCAGATGCTCTTTAGTATTTAGTAAGCTCTTGAGTTAAGGGTAACACTTTTTTAATGTTGAAAGTCATTTCTTGGGGTACAATTTACATGAAATAAGATGAATCTGTTTTATATGTGCAGATCACTGAGTTTTGAGAAATGAATATACTCACGTAACTTTTACCTCAGTTAAGGTATAGGATATTTCCATCATCTCCAGAAGTTCCTTAATGTTCCTTTGCAGTCATTCTCCCCATTCTGCTCCTAGGCAATCACTAATCTGATTTGTTATTATAGATTAGTTTTGTCTATTTTACATCACATTCATATAGCTATACTCTTAGCATAAATGTTTTTGCAATTGATACATGAATACATGCATACATGAGTGTGCATGTGTGAGTAGCTCTTGTTTTATTTTCTAGTTTTGAACTTTTATGAACAAAAACTGTCAACATTTGTCTACCAGTCTTTGTGGACATGTGTTTTCATTTCTCTTGTGAGTGAAATTGTCAGGTTATATGTAAACGTATGCTTATTTTTTTCTAAGAAATTTCTGAACTGTTTTCCATAGTGTATCATTTTACACTCCCATCAATATATATGAACATTCTGGTTGTTCCACATTTGTGCCAACATTTGGTATTTTAAGTTTTCTTTCTTTTTTTAGCAATTTCAGTTTATGTATAATGGTATCCTCAGTATGATTTTAATTTGTATCTTTCTGATGACTGCAGACATTGAGCACCTTTGCATGTGCTTATTGCCCATTGCCATATCTTTTTTTGTGATGTGTTTTTTCAAATCTTTTGTCCCTTTTAAAGTGTCTTCTATTTTTGAATTGTAGAGTTGTTTTTTTTCTTTAATTTGGTTATACGTTCTTTATCAGATACTTGTTTTGTGAATATTTTCTCCCAGTCTGTGGCTTGCCTTTTCATTTTCTTAGTGTCTTTTAGAAGAGCAGATGTTCTAAATTTTGATTTCAGTTTACCATTTTTTTCCTTTTACAGTTGATGCATTTTTGCCTCCTAAACAATCTATGACTACATTAAGGTCTTGAAGATTTCTTCAGTGGTTTCTCATGAAAAATTTTACCTTTTTGTTCAGGTCTATGATCTGCTTTAATTTAATTTTTGTAAATTTAATAGTCATATTGTCCATGCTGGAATGTAGTTATATCTGTAGTAGGCACACATATTTGCGATATTTCATTAACAGCAAGAAACCTATACAGGGTCTGTCTGGAAAAAGTACAGCCCTTGTTAATAATAACAATAAGAGTTCATTAATGTAAGCTGGCAGCCAAGGAGAATGGACTGGAATTTGCATGTGTGAACAAGGACGACTTTACTGTACTAGTCAGTGGGGGCCATAGATGCCATTAAGTGAACTTGGGTACAGTGTGGCCATCCCATTCAAAATAACTGAGCGAGTAGAGCAACAATGAATCTGCATCAAATTTTGCATTAAGGTTGAATGTTCCTCCATGGAAACTATTGAGATGATTTAGAAGGCCAAAGCTATGGGAAACTGGTGACTGACAGCTTCATCATGACAGTATCCCCACTGATGCATGATTTTTTGTGTAGAGGTGTTTGGTGAAACATCAAATCAGCAGGTGATTCACTCCCAATACAGATTTGGCACCCTGTGACTTCTGACTTTCCCCAAAACTAAAATCACCTTCAAACAGCTTGAGATCTCAGACTGTCAATAAAATTCAGGAAAACACGATGGGGCAGCTGATAGCAATTGGGAGAACTGTGTGGTCCCAAGATACCTATTTTGAGGGGGATTGAGGGATCACTGTCCTGTTTACAATGTTTCTTTTATGTCCTTCAGTAAATGTCTCTATTTTTTCATATTATATGGTTGAATATCTTTTGGACTGATCTCATACATAGAAATCTATATAAAAATATGCAGTATTTAACATATGCTTTGTTTTGTATACCAGACTTAATGTAAAAAATCATGGCTTAATGTAAAATATCTGTATAAAATATTTTTGAAGTATATTTTTTAATCATCATATACTTGTATTATTTTACATGTATTTATATATTGAGTTTTGGTGAATGATTAAATTCTGTAAAACTGAAAGTGTGTGTTAAATATTTGGTTAACATGGAGTTCAGGATGATCATATCTGATCCATATTAAAACAGTTAGGCACTAATCAGAATTCTTCTATTCCACAACATAGTCATTCCTTTGATTGAGTCCTCTCTCACCTTGCCCTGACAGTTTTCATTTACTTTTTCAACTGGAAAGAAAATGAATTCTCTTGTAGGAATCAGGTCAATATGAAAGAGATAAAAGAACTGGTTGAGCTCACAGATTTTCTTCTTTTCTGCTTTTTTCTCCTTTTTTTTTCTTTGAGCCAAGATCTTTGTTCCCTATGAATTTTTTCATTTTTTTCTCTTTTTTGGGAAAAGAGGTGCACATGCTCTGCAAGCATCTCCTTTCTAAGCATATTTTCCTGAGCGTGAAATTGGATTTCTCTAGAGTTTACTATGGGCTGCTTGTAGCTTAATATTTAGAATATTTTTATTTTGAGGGGAGGATGTTAAACACCAATAAGAGAGCAAAAACACAGGGTTGTAGGGAGGAATTTTGTATTATACAAAGTAGGATAAATGTGAATGTACTTTTCTTCTATCTCCTCTCTAATACTTCATCTTTTCCAGTTTGCCATAGCTGTTTTTAATCTTGGAGCAATTTTATTCTGCCTCTGCAATGAGAAACCAATATATATGACATTGTGATGTTGTAGTATTTGTTTTGTTCATGGAGTTAGTGCCCTTATTTTATATCTGGGTTTCATGTACTACCTTGTATTTCTCCAGAAATAATACATTTCATTACTAATATGTAATTACTGTACTTTTTCTCTTTGTTTTTCTCTTCCTTCTCTTTTTACCCTTTGGTTCTTGAGCAGGTCTCGTTCAGCGTTGTGTGATCATCCAGAAGGATGACAATGGATTTGGGCTGACGGTCAGTGGAGACAATCCAGTCTTCGTACAGTCTGTCAAAGAAGGCAAGACATTTTTCAAATTGTCTTGTCACTTGAAAGCAAACAGTAAAAACAGAAAAGCTTAAATAATGTCTGTTGCCCAGAATAACATAATGACATAGGTTTCAGATTATGTGACTAGTTTTGCTAATTTTGTCTTTAGTGTTGTAGTTTGAGGCATGCATTTCCCTCAGTTGATCTTCTGTGTACTTTATAGTTTTAGAAATCACATAACTCTTTGGTCAAGGTACTTTATGTATCATCACTTACAGAAATTTGTGTTATAAAGATTATTTCGGTAGAAACAGACTAAGCAGATGGTTATAGACTCAAAAATATCTGTTCTTTTTCCAAAACGTTTTTTATTGCTATTGACATTTATTGAATACTTCCTTTATGTTTGGTATGATAATTTGAGGTAGGTATATATTATCCCTATTTTATAAATGATATTGAGACTTAGATTAAAAACCATAAAAACAGTCCAAGGTCACACAACTAGTGAGTGACAGAGGCAGCATTTGAATGTAAATCTATATGACTTTACAGCCCATGTTCTTAAGCAGTTTGTCATGCTGCCTCTGTTTCAAGAAGATTATCAGTCAATTCAAATGAGTTCCATTTTAAGTAATTAATTTCTCTTACAGATGGAGCAGCCATGCGGGCTGGAGTACAGACAGGTGATCGAATCATCAAGGTAAGAAAAAGACTAATATAGAATTTATGGTAGAATTTTTTAAAAAAGCATGTGTTAGCCATAGCTTCATTTTTTTCATGTGGATTTTTATGAAAAGCAACACTTGACATATGATGGGTTTGTGGACTATGAAAACTTACTTATTTTAAAATTAATATAACCCTATACTGAAAGGCATAATAAAAAGCTTGAATAAATAATTTTTTAGCAAGAAATTCTCATCCCACTGAGTGGGACCTCACACAGTTCTCCCAGTCGCCATCAGCAGTCCCATTGTATTTTCCTGAATGTCATTGATGGTCTGAAATCTCTTCCTTTCAAAGGTGATTGTAGTTTTGAGAAAAGCCAGAAATCTGGGCTAAAAGTGGGGCTGAGTCACCTGAGTGATTTGATGTTTCACCAAAACTCTGCCCAAGATGTGCTGCATGCGTGGTTGTGTTGTCATGTGAAGCTGTCAGTCACCGGTTGCTCACAGCTTCAGTCTTTTGAATCATCCAGATAGTTTCCATGGAGGAATGTTCGAGCTTAGCACAAAATTTGATGCAGATTTGTTGCTCTACTTTACTTAGTCATTTTGAATGGGATGGCCACACAGTACACATGCTCACTCAGAGGTGTCTGTCACACCCCACTGAATAGTACACTGAAGTCGTCATTGTTCACCCATGTGCATTCTAGTCCACTCTCCTTGGCTGCCAAATTAAATCAATGTCATGCAAACTGTTCTCATATTAACACTAGCTATACTTTTTCTAGACAGACCTTGTAAAGTAGGTAAAATTTGTTTGAATGGAAATTCGTGAATATATATCAAAAATTACATACTTTCGTTAAGTATATACCTTTGATCAGCAATTTTGCTTTTAGGAATATATGTTAGGAAATAAGTGTACAAACATGAAATGCTATGTATACAGGAAAATTTTTGTCAGCTTCATCATACAGAAAACTTACATATTTTGAACTAGAGAAATAAATTGCATATTATCTGCAGCTTTTAAAAAGAATTTTTGTACCTATAATGAAAGATATCTAATAAAAGGTATTTATTTTCAGAAAAACAATATAACACATATTTACATGTGTCTGTGGTGTATGTAACTAGAATAGTGGTTCAAAGATTAAGTGTGGTTAACAAGTAATCTCTGGTGGTCACAATGAATGTACTTTTACTTATATTTTATATACTGATATATTTGAACTTATAAAAATCGGTATCATTTGTGTCTGAGAAAAAGTAGTTTTAATGTTAGATCCATGTTCAGTATACCTTAATTTGTTTTGTTTATTGGAGACTTTGGTTAACATATCCTACATTTAACTTCTTAAAATTAATTTTCTCTGTAAAGGTTAGGTCATAATTAGGAAACTGAAAGTAAGTTGAATGTTATTTTGGAAATATTTATTTTTTCATGTTTCAAAAATACATTATGATTTTGACAAATTACTGAATTTATAATTATAAGCAAAGAAATGTTTTCTATTTGCAAGAGCCCTCCACTGTGAAAGATTTGTAAATCATTTGCATGATATGTTTTGTCATCTGTCATGGTGAATACATTGTATTGCCCTTTAAATTAAGGCCTTTTGTGTGTTCAAGTTCATTTTGTTTCTGAGTATAACTTATAGAATAATGGAGAAGTGAATATTATACAAATATATGCATAACTTTGTTTACTATAATTGTATATACTGTGTATAGTAATTCCTGAAATCAGTTTACTCATTGTCTCAATAGAATGTATCCAGCATACACTGTTTTTATTTTCTTGCAGGTGAATGGAACACTGGTGACTCATTCAAATCATTTGGAGGTGGTAAAGTTAATCAAATGTAGGTGAATGTTATTCTATTTTGTTTTCCCAATCGCTTAAGCAAGGATTCGTGAACATTTTATGTAATAGTCCATATAGCAAATATTTTAGGCTTTGTGGGCACTACCTGATGCTGTCATTATAGTCTGAAAAGAGCAATAGACATATGTAAATGAATAGGTATGGCTGTGTTTCAATAAAACTTTATTTGCCAAAACAGTCTATGTGCTAGATTAAGTCCCTTGACGAGTGTTTGCTGACTCCTGAATTAAAGAAAAGTCTGAGATGAAAATTCTTAATAGTTATCTTATGTCAACTTCATTTTTTTAGTTGATTATAATATTTTTACTGTGGTAATATTGAAAGTGTATATTTGAAAGAAAGGTCTTAAAGCCACCTAAGAGAGAACTGAATGAGAAATTGGATGCAATGGCCTGGGTGAACTGGAAAACCTTAAAACACATATAAACTTAAAATTCCTCCAAGTCATAGATAGCATTTATGACCACTAGGTGTAAAATTAAAAGAAGTTTTTAGAAACTCAAACATTGTAAAATAACTGAGATCCACAATCAGGTTAAATTGCAAAAAGGTGTGAAATACATTTAAAAGTTCTATTGAAAAATCTAATAAGAGAAAGATTTTTGTCAATTAAAGGTCAGTTACCTTTATTTGGAAAGGCTCATTTCTGCCTGAGGCTAGATAAAAAAATTAATGTCTTCTCTTGAGTATTTCTGGTTATGGTTAATTTTGCTTTTTGTAGTTTTTATTTCCCCCCTGTAATATACCTAGTGAATTTCTGTCTTCCCCAAATTTTTAAAATGAAAACTCAGTGCTTATTTATTGAGTATTTTCCCAGTTTTTGTTGGATATTTTTTGTCAGTTTTATTTTGTAAAGATATTTTTAAATTGCATCATTATATTCTAGAAATTAGTTAAGTTCTGCCTAATTACTATCATCTTAAAATATGATTTTTTTAAATTTGCATTTAAAAAATTAATTAAACATAGCCATTAGTAGATGATTGATTTTTAACTCTTCTATGATTAAAAACTGAGGGTTATCAATTTTATTTTCTTTTAAGTAATAAGTAATAATTTGCTATCTGAAAATGAAGTAATTTTTTTAGATTCTTAGAAGAGCCATAAAAAAGATTAGATTCTTTTTATGTGGATAAGTGATTAGCAAATGATGAAACTTTTGCAAATGACTGGATCTTCTTAGAAATGTCAAAGACTAAGTAGTGAAATGTTGTAAAAATGTTTTTACAATGTTGTTTTCCCTTCATTCCTCTTTTATCTCCTCACCCCAAGCTGGTTCCTATGTAGCTCTCACTGTTCAGGGACGCCCACCTGGGTCAACCCAAATTCCACTTTCTGATTCTGAAGTAGAGCCATTGGTCATTGGACATATGTCTCCCATTATGACATCCCCTCATTCACCTGGAACATCTGGGAATATGGAGAGAATTACCAGTCCTGTGCTCATGGAGGTGAGTGGGGAAAAATCATTGTAAATGCTCAATTGCGTAATGGCTTTGCTTTATATTCAGAATTTTGAAGTACTGAACTGATAAATACATTTAAGTGCAAGATTCTAGAAAGTAACTTTCTAATATAATAATTACATAATGCAGTTGACCCTTCAACAACATGGGTTTGAAATCCACTATATATGGATTATTTTCAATAAAAACATATAGCACTATAAATACATTTTTCTCTTCCTTATGATTTTCTTAGTAACATTTTCTCTACCTTTATTGTAAGAACTCAGTATACATCTAACATATAAAAAAATTGTTAATTAACTTATTGGTAAGGCTTCCATTCAGTAATAAGCTATTTGGGAGTCAGAAATTACATGCAGATTTTTGACAGCCCAGGGGTTGGTACCCCTGACCCCCATGTAATTCAAGTGTGAATTGTAATTTGGAATAGTTATTCAGTATTGAGATAGAAGATTTAATTCAACAAATATTAAATACCTACCATACAGAGAACAGGTTGCCACTCACAAAAATATTTAAGATATCCAGTGTTCAAGGTCCTTATTATCTAATAATACATACTTTGAAAGGATGAGTGTTTTTGTTTGTTTGTTTGTTTACTGTTGAGTCCGTAGTGAAAAAATAATATAGTGAGGAATATCCAACCTTTTGTTGTCTCTGGGCCACACTGGACCACACATTAAATACATTGTGACACATAATCACACACAAAAAAAATCACATAATGTTTTAAGTAAATTGCTGATTTTGTGTTGGTCTGCATTGATAGCCATCCTGGTACTCATGTGGCCCATAGGCCACAGGTTGGACCTCCCTGATAGTGCTTGGCATATAGTAAGTGCTTAATAAACCTTTGTTATTTGAGATTGTACTAAGACTATAAAAGTAATTACAGTACAAAGGCAGAATGTGACCTGAGGGCAAAAAATATTAAATTCTTTAAAGAATTTAAAGGAGGGCAGAAGAGTATATCCAGTTATAAAATGGAAGGACTTTGTGGAGAGCTGTTTTTTTAATTGAGCCTTGAAAAACAAGTAACATTTCAGTGGTGGCAGTAGAAACGAGGGCAACCCACTTACAGGAAGTAGAGTTAGCTAGGACTGTTGTTTACTTGGTGCCTGTTAAGGATTTATGTAATGGGAAATGAGCTTGAAAAAGTAAGACTATTTGTTTTAAAAAATCACAACTACCAGGGTGCTTTACATGGCACTGGATAGGCAGTGACAGCCAGTAAAACTTCTTTTGAGCAAGACAGTGATGCGATTATAACAGGATTTTAGGAAGACTCATTTGATAAAATAAGGGGTTTTGAAATAAGGAAAATGGTGTGAAGTAAATTAGGGAGCTATCTTAGTATTTCAGGTAGGAAGTATTGGAAATTTGAGCCATGCATGTGGATTGATAGTAAAGATCTAAAGAAGGGAAAATATTAATGTTATTTTTATGCTTAAGGCAACTTTATTTTTCCAACTAATACAATATTTAACGTTTCCTTTCCTTCATCTAGTTTACTAAAAGTGAAAAGGGCTGAAATTTCCGTATAGATTTTTATCTTTAGTGTCATGTCTAAAAAAAGTCTAACCTTTTAAGTGCTAGAAATAAAATCTTAATAGGTATTACATATTAGATCTGGGGCATAACATAGTATGTCTTGTTTTTACTGTTTAGTTCTTTCCCTATATTGGTTCTTTTGTTTGTTTGTTTGTTTGTTTTATCTTTTTCTAGGAGGAAAACAATGTGGTTCATAACCAAAAAGTAGAAATTTTGAGAAAAATGTTACAGAAAGAACAGGAACGGCTACAGGTACTAAACTATAGGGAAGGACTGTTTGCAGGCCAAATTGTGAGTTGGTATTTATTATAATCACAATCAAACAGTATTGTAATCAGTCCATAAGCTATTTGATTAAGAATAGACTTCTTGAACTCTGTTTCTTGCATGAGTAATTAATACTAAAATATTTTTACAACTTTTCAGTTATTACAGGAAGATTACAACCGAACACCTGCCCAAAGGTTGCTAAAACAGATTCAAGAGGCCAAGAAACACATTCCTCAGCTGCAAGAGCAGTTATCCAAAGCCACAGGTTCTGCTCAGGTAGCAACACTATTAAAAGCACTACCCAGCTTTTTTGTTGGAGCGTATTCTTTGAGGAATGTGTTAAAGAGTGTTGCACTTGCCTTTTGAAAAGTTGTAATGCTTTTTCTAGCAGGAGGTGCTTTGTAAGATGTTACAGAACTAATGATTAACTAAAAGAAATGTGGGCTTCTGATTATTTGCTGGCTTATGATTTAATGTTTCTTTGTTCCACAATAATTATTTTCTTTAATTATTTTTTATTGATTATGATATTACAGTTTCTCCATTTCTCCCTCTTTATCCCCCCTCTGCCCGGCCCCCAAACTTTCCAGCATTCCCCGCCTTAGTTCATGTCCATGGATTGTACATGTAAGTTTTTTGAGTCCTCTGTTTCCTATGCCATTTTTGATCTCTCCCCATCTATTTTATGTCTACCAAATTATGCTGCTTCTTCCCTCTACCTTTTCTGCCATTACTCCCTTCTCCCTCCCCATTGAAGTATCTGTGTGATCTCCATTTCTCTGATTCTGTTCCTGTTCTAATCATTTGCTTGGTTTTTGTTTCCATTATCTGTCTTTTAGGTTCATTTGTTGATAATTGTGAGTTTTTTGTCATTTTACTGATCATAGTTTTTGATCTTTAGTTCCTTAAGTCCCTTTAATATTTCATATAATAAGGGCTTGGTGAAGATGAACTCCTTTAACTTGACCTTATCTGGGAAGCACTTGATCTGCCCTTCCATTCCAAATGAAAGTTTTGCTGGACAGAGTAATCTTGGATGTAGGTTCTTGGCTTTCATAACTTCAAATACTTCTTTTCCAGCCCCTTCTTGCCTGCAAGGTTTCTTTTGAGTAATCAGCTGATAGCCTAATGGGAACTCCTTTGTAAGTAACTGTCTCCTTTTCTCTTGCTGCTTTTAATATTCTCTCCTTACCTTTAATCTTGGGTAAGTTAATGATAATGTGCCTTGGTGTGTTCCTCTTCGAGTCCAACTTCTTTGGGACTCTCTGGACTTCTTGGAAGTCTATTTCCTTTGCAAGATTAGGGAAGTTCTCCTTCATTATTTGTTAAGGTAAGTTTTCAATTTCTTGCTCTTTCTCTTCTTCTCCTCTGGTACCTGTATGATTCAGATGTTGGAATGCTCAGGTTGTCCCGGAGAATCCTCAGCCTCTCTTCATTTTTTTGAATTCATGTTTCTTCATTCTGTTCTGGTTGGATGTTTTGTTCTTCCTTCGTTACAAATCATTGCCTTGAGTCCTGGTTTCCTTCCTGTCACTGTGTTGGTTCCCTGAATATTTTGCTTTATTTCATTTTGGGTATCTCATTTGTTTTTTTTTTCATTTTTCAAGCAAGCTCAGTGAGTTCTGTGAGTATTTTGATTATCAGGGCTTTAAAATCTCCATCAGATAGGTTGGCCATCTCCTCATTGTTTAGCTCTCTGTCTGCAGTTTTGCTCTGCTCTTTCATTTGGGCCATATTTCCTTGTCTTGGTGTACCTGTTAAGGTATAACAGGGCAGGGCCTTAGGTATTCACCTGAGCAGGGCAACCCTCCTTGCTGTGCTGTGTCACTGCCTGTTCAGGAGGGGCCAAAAGGAACAGTACAACTTGCCTGCTTGGCACTAGCCTACTTTCCAGAGAACTGTCATGTGACACTGGGAGTTTCTCCTACCATTGCAACTGCTGTAATCCACAATCAGCTTGGCGTCTGAGTTTCTCATTCAGTTAGCCCTGCCCACACTGTCAGTTGCCTAGCTGCAGGTTCTTACTGGTCTGGTTTTTCAGTTTGACTGTTTCTTTGATTCCTTGGTTGTTGGAGCTCCATGCAGTTTGATTTTCTGGCACTTCTGGTTGTTTATTGATTGTAGATTGGTTGTTATTTTCTCTTTGGTTGTGCAAGGAAGTGAAGGTTTTCTTCCTATGCTTCCATCTTGGCTGGGACTCCCCACAATAGTATTTAAGGGAGTGCTTTTGCTTTGATGGGACAAATTACTGAAAAGTATTTGGATACATGTATTTATTGTTTTGAGGTTCATCCTCCAATTATGTTTTTAAGTAGGGATATAAGGTTTTTCAGTTGGGTAGGCATTGTGCTAAGTACTTGGGTAAGCATTTTTCTAGTCTCCATAACAACCCTCTGAGATTAGATACTATGTTGTCTCTCCTACTTGTTTTACATACACACTTAAAGAAGTGATGTTTCACATACACATCAAAAGTGATGGAACTGGAATTTAAGCCGAATCTGATGAATTTCACATTTTTAATGACTGTATTTTAATAATTTTAAAATAGATTTCAATAGGCCCTGGATGGGAAGCTCAGTTGTTTAGACCATCGTCCCTGTACTCCAAGATTACAGGTTTAATTTCTGGTGAGGGCACATACAAGAATCAACCAATGAATGCATAAAAAATTGGAATAACAAATTCATGTTTCTCGCTCTCTCCCCCTCTCAGATGAATAAATAAAAATTTAAAAGATAAAAATAAAATAATAAAATATCAACAGAATTTGCTAAATAGGTATAAGTATGGAGATGATGGTCTCATAAAAAATAGCTCAGCATTTATATATCAACTAGATTTATATTCTATAATATTCAGATTTGGGATATGAAAGGCTCCTTTTACTTCATTTTAAAGCAAAATGGTTCTGGTCAGTGTGGCTCAGTTGGTTGGAGCATCATCCTTGTAAACTAAAGAGTTGCTGGTTGGATTCTTGGTCAGGGCACCTATGAGAGACAACCGATCAGTGTTTCTCTCTTACATCAGTGTTTCTCTCCCTCTTCTCTCCCTCCTTCTTCTCTCTAAAATCACTAAGTATGTCCATGGGTAAGGATACAAAAAAAAAGCAAAATAGATAAGTTGCTTGTACCATTTAAAATGAGTAAAAGCTGTTGACTTGCTATTTTTCCTCAGTTATGTCTGTAACTGAAAGCCAGATTCATAGAACTAAAAGGATGGTTTTGAGATCATCTAGCCCAATTAAAAATCATGCTGTGGTTGTGAAAACAAGGGCCTAAACTGGTTAAATGACTTACAGAAGGTCACACAGTTACAAGGTCCCTTGAGTTGCTGGTTTAGTGTACTTTCAGTTACACATTATTTATTTTTTCTTTACTTACAGTCCCATTAACTGTCTCTAATGTTACTTACATTTTATAACCACAGAATTAGTAGTTATTTATGTTTTTAACTTTCAGATCTTTAAGCATTCTTGATTGCATGAAAATGTCCAACTTTTAGTGGTCTTCTTTAGTTTGTAGTGCAACTCTATTTCTTTATGCAATCAGTAATGAAAGTTTTTTTTTATGTGTTTGTGTGTGTGTTTAATCTGTTTTAGGATGGAGCTGTAATTACTTCCTCCAAGCCGTTAGGTGACACACTAATAGTCAGTGAGTTAGAGGCAGATCCTGGTGATGGAATAGGCAAAATTGACTATGGCGGCGGAGATGTTTCTTGGCCCAGGAGTGACAATGCAAATGTAAGTGTTTATGTTTTAACCTTCTCGGGTTCTTCTTTACAGCCTCTCTCTACATTTGATGTTAAGTTACATGAGTTACAGGTGTGTTCTCTTATTACTTATCTTTTTATCATTGCCATATTTGTTGTATCAATTTGATGAGCAGAAATTCTGGACACTATTGTATATTGAGCTTTTAATTCCAGAGTTCTCTTTTTCCCTTGGACAACTATTGCCAAATGTTTCTTTAGAGGACATGGAATTTTCCAGCAGGCATCTTGTTTGAGAGTAGAAAAGTTAATAATGCCAGTGTTTTTTTACTGAACTGAAAGGCTAGCTGTTGATATCTTTAAAAGCCTGTTAATATTCTATTTCTGGTCACTCATTCTTGAATCATGGGGCACTTTGCCATTACAAAGAGAGAAGTTCTGTTAGACTTCAGTTAATAACCCATGTTTAATAACACTTTTCTTGATGAGCCCAGAACTTGTCAGATGTACATGGATACTTGTTAAAAGAAGATATTTTAAGTTGAATATGATATGGCTTCACCGTCATATAAATTCAGTGTTACTCAGCAGTCTTTTGTAAGTAGTATGCAGTGATAGGAATAATGACTTAAGAATAGATCACCCTTTAAAACATGAGGAAGATAGTCTTAACAAGTGTTTTTAAAACTGTGATTCATGAAATCAATGTAGTTGTTTGGGACCAGCATGTCAAAAAAAAAGAAGGAAATAAGAGTGCTTTACAGAATGGAGGCAAAGTAGGTGAGATCTAAATCCACTTGCTCATGCACCCAACTGGGACACTTAGTTGATCTTCCAAAAAACAAAATGAACAGCCAACAGAATCGTAGCTGGTAAGTTTAGAAGCCAGAGTACGCAGAGGACAATTGGAAACGGGCAGTAAGGAGGTTTTATAGGTGGTCAGTGAAGGTTTCCAGGCGTGGTGCCAGAAACCACAGATGCTGCAGAGACAATATCGGAGGAGAGCTGGGTCAGTGATAGCAGCCTAGAAACTCCCTCCCCTCCCAGTTGGGAAATTCCCAGACCCATTCCAGTGTAAAGTCCCTGGGTGGGGGGGCAACAAACTCATTCACAGGTGGGGGTCACTGAATCTGGGGCAACAGTTGCCAACCAGGAAAGTCCCAGAGAGTGTGTGTGTGGGGGGAGTAATCCTGGCAGCTTCTGGAGCTGGGAGAAGAGGTAGGCTGCAACTGGCTGTGAGTGAGATAGACTCTGGATTTCTAGAGAGTTAGAGTATGTAGAAAGCCAGGCACTGGCTTGCAGTGGCAGTGGCACTAACAGAGACTTTTTTTAAAAGGGGAACTGAGACACAGGTCAGGGACCTTCCATGCACAACTGGTGGGCGACGAGGAAGGAGGATTGTCAGGAGACCTCATAATTGATCAAAGGGGTACTGGTGGTTTATCAAAGCCAATGTGGAGCAACCGTGAGAAGAGAGTGTGGGCCTTACAGTGCTGTCAGGAGGTGGACTGGAAACTGGGCACATGGATTATTGAAGCACAGACTGAGTCCCTATCCTTTCTGAACCATTGGAAAGGGAAAATGGAGCCCAACCCTGCCCCACCCCCAACCCCACCATGTGTAGGACCTGAGATTCTATCAAACTAATTGGGCACACTTAACAATCAGCAAAATACAAGACAAGGTGGGAGTTGTGACTACCAGTAAGCCTGCTGGAGGGGAGAACCCTCCAACAAAGGAGCTACCAACAAGTAGCTACAACAGAAGAGCCCACACAAACAGAAGAAATGGCAACCCTAGAGCATCCAGATGAGGAGATCAAAGAGATCACACCACCGAGTCCCACAGACATAGCTGGCAAAAGAGAGTAAGAAGATAACTTCAGAGAAGTGTAGGACAACATGAAATGGAACAATATTCAAATCATAGGAATACCAGAAGGAGGAGAAATGAAGTAAGGGATAGAAAACATATTTGAAAAAATAATGAACGAAACTTCCCTGACCTGGAGAGGGGAGAAGCCATGAAAATTTAGGAAGTACAGAGGGTTCCAATCAAGATGAATCCAGGGAGGCCTATTCTAATACACATCATAATTAAAATGCCAAATTTTAAAGACAAAGAATCCTAAAAGCAGCAAGAGAGAAACAGATAATAACATACAAGGGAGCTGGGATATAGCTAGCAGGTGATATCTCACCAGAAGCACTACAAGCCAGAAGACAATGGCAAGAAATAATCCAGTAATGAAGAGCAAAGGCCTGCAACCAAGATTATTCTACAAAGCAAGGCTGTCATTTAAAATAGAATGTGAAATAAGAAGTTTCCCAGGCAAAAGCTTAAGTGATACTCCTCCACCAAACCAGCATTGCAGGACACATTGAAGGGATTTCTTTAAGAAGATGAAGACATAGAGTGAGAAAGGAACAGAGGTACAAAAGGAAAACTGGGAATGAATAAGGAGCCTTTTAGTAGTAATGTTAAATGGAAATGGATTAAATGTTCTGATCAAAAGACTAGGTTAGCTGAATGGATAAGAAAATATGACCCACATTCATGTTATCTACAACAGACCAACCTCAGAACAAAAGACCTGCACAGAGTAAAAGTGAAGGCTTGGAAAAAATATTCCAAGCAAACAGACAGGGAAGAAAAGCCAGGGTAGCAATACTTATATCAGAAAAAAATAGATTTCAAAACAAAGGCCATGAAAAGAGACAAAGGTCATTTCATAATTCTCAAGGGAAGCATACGTCAGGAAGCTATAACAATGGTAAACCTATTTTCACCCAACATAGGATCACCCCAATATATAAGGAAAATCTTGGAGAACTTCAAGAAAGATGTAGACAGCAGCGTACTCATAGTATTTGAGTATTAACACACAGCTGTTGACAATGGACAGATCTTCCAAACAAAAATCAACAAGGACATATTGGCACTGAATGACACACTAGATCACATGGGCTTAACTGATATATATGGAACCTTTCACAACAAAGAAGCAAAAATACACATTCTTTTCAGTAGCATATGAAATATTTGCAAAGGCAGATCACATGATAGTACACAAAACAAGCCTCAAGAAATTCAAGAAAATTGAAAATGTATTAAGCATTTTCTTGGATCACAATGGCTTGAACCTAGAAATCACCCTCAGGGAAAAAACTAAAAAACAGTCAAATATATCAAGACTGAATAACATGTTATTAAACAATGAAAGTGTATAAAATGAGATCATGAAAGAAATCAAAAAGTTTCTCTAAACAAATGAAAATGAACACACAACAAACCAAAACCTGTGGGACATAGAGAAGGCAGTGTTCAGAGGGAAGTTCATAGCCTTTCAGTCCTATCAAAAAGATAGAAACTTTTCAAATAAATGACCTAACCATATATCTACAAAAACTACAGGAACTACAACAAAGCCAAGAGTGAGCAAAAGGAAGGAAATAATCAAGATCAGAGTAGAATTAAATGCCATGGCGACTAAAAGACTAAAAGAACAATTCATATGATTGATGAATCCAGAAGCTGGTTCATTGAAAAGATAAGCAAAATCAAGAAGCCTTTAACTGGACTCATCAAGAAAAATAGAGAGGACCCCAATAAGTAAAATCAGAAATGAGAAAGATGAAATTACAACCAATACCACAAAAATAAAAAGTATTGTTAAGAAATTATTATGAACAACTCTATACCAAGAAATTTGAAAACCTGGGTGAAATGTACAAATTCCTAGAAACATAATCCTCCAAAACTGATTCAAGGAGAAGCAGAAACCCTGAATTGACCAATAACAACTAGTGAAATTTTAAAAAAATTTTTTATTGATTATGCTGTTACAGTTGTTCTATTCCCCCCTTCATTCCCCTCCACCCTACCCCCGTCCCCACCATTACCCCCCCTTTAGTTTATGACCATGTGTCTCAAGTTCTTTAGATTCTATATTTCCCATGCTATTCTTGCCCCCCATCTATTTTCTATCTACTGTCTATGCTACTTCTTTTCTGTACCTTCTCCCCCCTTCTCCTCCTCCCACTCCCCTGTTGCTAACCCTCCTTGAGATCTTCATTTCTATGTTTCCACTCCTGATCTAGCTGTCCTTTTAGTTTGCTTTTGTTTTAGGTGTGGTTGTTAATAACTGTGAGTTTGCTGTCCTTTCACTGTTCATGTTTCTTTAACTTCTTTTTCTTAGATAAGTCCCTTTAACGTTTCATATAATAAGGGCTTGGTGATGATGAACTCCTTGAATTTGATCTTATCTGAGAAACACTTTATCTATCCTTCCATTCTAAATGAAAGTTTTGCTGGATAAAGCAATCTTGGTTGTAGGTCTTTGGATTTCATGAGTTGGAATACCTCTTTCCAGCCCCTTCTTGCCTGTAAGGTCTCTTTTGAGAAATCCGCTGACAGTCTGATAGGGACTCCTTTGTAGGTGACTGCCCCCTTATCTCTTGCTGCTTCTAGGATTCTGCCCTTCATTTTCATCTTGGCTAATGTAATTACGATGTGCCTTGGTGTGTTCCTTCTTGGGTCCAACTTCTTTGGGACTCTGAGCTTCCTGGATATCCTGGAAGTCTATTTCCTTTGCCAAATTGGGGAAATTCTCCTTTATTATTTGTTCAAATAAGTTGTCCACTGGTGGTTGTGCCTTTCCCCCTTCTGGTACCCCTATAATTCGGATGTTGGAACGTTTAAAGATTTCCTGGAGGTTCCTAAGACTCTCCTCATTTCTTTGAATTCTTGCTTCTTGACTCTTTTCTGTTTGGCCATTATTTGCTTTCTTCTGGTCCACTCCATTGATTTGAGTCCCAGTTTCCTTTTCAATGCTATTGGTTTCCTGTGCAATTCCATTCATTTCAATTAGTTTCGCCTTCATATATTTGTCTAATTTGTGGCTATAATCAACCAGTTCTGTGAGGATCCTGATGACCAATGTTTTAAACTGTGCGTCTGAGAGTTTTGCTATTTCTTCATCCCTTAGATTTATAGGCTCTGGGGCTTTGAGGTCTTCTTGGGCCATTTTTG